GTACCGGTGGAAGTGACCTCGGCGTGAGGAGCGACCTCCCTCGATGACTTGTCGACCTGACTGAGGTCCAGATGGCAACTTGCGAGACGTGCTCGTTGACCTCCTTTGCATGCATCATGTCACTCCCGGTGCGTGAAGCCCATGCCAAACAACACATATATAAAGGTCTCATCTCTTCCCTAAGAGAAAAGGTACACACAATTTAGTTCTCAAATACTAGTAATCTTGATTTCAACTCTCTAAAACCTCCAATTCGTTCTTAAGCATCGGAGTGCCCACACCGGGTAAAGCACCCCGAACACTTTGACCTATCTTCTTGCAGATCGGCCAGGCAACCTCATTAGCCTGACGTCCGAGCTATCCTCTAGTAGGGAGCACCAAATCAAGCATCATCAGGTTAACTCATGATGTATAATTAAAAATAAATTTTTTAAAATAGAATAATACAAAAAATACAAAACAATTTTGGGCATATCTATAATATTATATATTAATCATATAAATACAAAATAAGTACCATGAATAATAATTATTTTATTAGTGATATAAATTAAATACAAAATTTAAAACCAGTCTGAAAATGAAACCAATTTCATATCTAGATGGTAGGTTAACGATCTAATCTTTTAGGTTAAATGAGTCAATCTATGATGTCATAATTGAGAAATAAATATTAATAGAATATATAGAAACTCAAAGAAAAATATAAGCTTTGTATAAAGCATTTTGATACAATTATAATGTTATATACTCATAATATTAAACAAAAATAAATATAAAAATAAGAATTACTTTTATTAATTATGAAAATGGAATACAATATTTAAAATCAACCAAAAAAGCAAAATGGTTTTTTTCCATCCAAGTGGTGGATTAGTGGTTCAATTTTCCATATCAAATGGATCAAACACATGATGTTATAATTAAATAATAAAATACACAAAATTATAGAAAAATATAGATAAATTTGGGTACATTCTATGATACTATATATTCATCATATAAAAAAAGTGTGATAAATGAGAATTATTTTCATTAATGATGAAAATGGGATAAAAATTAGGAAAAAAATAAAGCATTAATGTTTAACACATGACTCTACTAGCCATGTCAAATGGTTCCATGATTTAATTAGCTAGGACGTCATAGGCAAGTGGTATGGTGGTAAATGAACCTACAAACTTGAATTGGGTGGTTGGATAATCAATCTAAAAAATTGATTTGACCCCAATATTAAAAACCAATATCAAACAATTTATTGAATTGCATTTCCTCTTGTTAAATAAGTAATTTTTATTATGTCATAATTAAATAATAAAACATAAAAATATAGAAACTTTTATAAATTTTATGGAAAAATTTGAACATGTATTAATATTATATATTCTTCATATTAAAAACCAATATCAAACAATTTATTGAATTGCATTTCCTCTTGTTAAATAAGTAATTTTTATTATGTCATAACTAAATAATAAAAAATAAAAATATAGAACTTTTTATAAATTTTATGGAAAAATTTGAACATGTATTAATATTATATATTCTTCATATTAAACAAAAATGTATTTGAAAAAATGAGAGTTATTGTTAGTAAAAGCAGAAATAGCTAAAATACAAAAAAAACAACAAATTAATGTATTAACCATAGCCCATTTTCGTGGTTAAAGCATACTAAAAAAATGTATCCAATTGACAAACCAATAAATCCAATTCTATGGTTCAACCGCATGTTAAAAACTTTGACTACTACCTTATACTAAAAAAACAATATATATACTATCACATGCAACACGCGTGCACTTTTACTAGTACCAATCAATAAAAAATGGATCATGAGACATCATGATTGAAATCTTAATTTAACATGTCACGAATATTAATTAATATACTATAATTAGACCATTTAACCAAAGTGGCCATTGGGTCACGGTTTAGGTTAACCAGTAACTAGCCCATTTAAATCATGAAAACCTTTCGTTTAATCATTTAACCAAGATGCAGAAAAGTCAGTAGATCATTGATTCAACCCAATTTTACAGCCTACTGTTGACTCAGACAGTCGGACCGATTGATCCTTCACCACGGGTTTGCTTTACCCCAAATCTGGAAAGTGTAAAAAACAATCCGGCTCAGGATAGGCCAACTCCTGATTTGGTCCATTTTTTATTTTTTATTTTTTAATTTAAACCATGCCCAATGTGGCCCGCCACCATAGACTTTAAAAAAAAAACTAATAATACTTCAACACCATGTCCTGCAGCCAACTTAGGCGATGTTTGGTTGGACCATTGGAGGAATCGATTTGCTCATTCTAGCTTTTAAATTCGTTACATCAACTGATGTTCCAAATTGTGTGGAAATGTTTATATGGTAAGATTGGTTCCTCAAAAATCAATGGAACAATTGGTTATTCCTACTTTCCATGATTTAGGATGTTACCTGCAGTTTTGGGAGATGGTCTCGCAAACTGTTGGGGTGGGGTGATTTTCAAATTGATTTGTGAAATGGCAATGACATGTTTATGATTTAAAAGTATACTTGTCAACATTACTTCTACCAAACATGTTTTATTGAATAAATCAGTGATTCCTCAAAACCCTCAAAAGTTACTCTTTTTCAAGGGAACAATTTTGGTTAATTGATTCTGCAACCAAACACCCAAGAGGGTTCTTTGAAAGTTGCACACATTAGGAGTATCTTCCTACAAATTTGACATACATGTACGCATAAGTTTTTGCTTATAGGAGATGTTGCCTCAATTGTATTGGGAACATCACAAAATCAATTGGTCAATGATGAAACAGGATTGGAAGGCCAGTAGTAACCACAAATTATTCTTGTTGTTACTAGTAGCAGTTTCTATGATGGTACAAAAACGGGAGTTCACATCTCCGCCATGTATTAGGAACATCATCCGATGATAATATTAGAACCGATGATGTCATCATCGGGAGATATTCCCAATACAAGGTGAGATGTGCTGTGGGACCTTGCGGGGCAGAGATGTGAATTCACAAAACAGGTCCTGGTAGAAGGTAGTGGAGTTAAGACAAACTACACAGTGGGTCTATATCTACTGCAACTTCCAACTTGGTATCAGCTACCAACACGTGGTGCTAATAGTGTCCCAATCAGTCATTGCAACCGTATATCGGGAACATCTTCCCATGAATGACAAGAAAGATATTTTCAACGTGCGACTGCAGTGACATTGGAACAGTGTCAAGTGTGTTTTATTGGTAATAAATCCCTATCCACGACTGCAAGCATTCATAAAAGTAAAGCGTTGATATTGATCATCAATGGACGACTTTATAAGTCAGGTCTACATCAAATCACTCGTTCAAATGGATTCCCAATTTCTACACATTCATCTCCTTTGTGTTGATAAAAATTCAAACTCTAAACAAGTACTAGGACAAAGGGATGCTACAAAAAATGGGTATATTTGTTGCTAATTTTACACATATATATACCAACAATTTTATTAAGAGCAAGAGAAAACAATGCACAACTACAAGTAGCAAAAGTAGTCAATAACTTCCATATGAGATGACATCTATGTGACCCTTTTCTCCGTATAGAAATCACCAACTCAAATAGCCCTCTACAAATGTGGCAATAGAACCAAAACAAGACAACAAAGAAATATCTGAAACCAAATAGCAAAATGAAACTACATCTCCATCAAGGATCTCTAGTGAAGATCCATCATTCCATCCTCTGCACTCCTTCCTAGCAAACCCATCTACAATAGTATAATGCACTATTGGGATCCAACTAAACAAAAAGTTTACTCCAAATTATGAGAACCTTAGGTCGAATTGCTACATTTTGCATATCCAAGAGTCACTCAATGAGGAGACTCTAAAGCAAAAGCCCAAAATTAATTCCAATTGAAGTATCCTTGCTAATTGGTCAGTACCAAAAAAACTTCATCAGCATGGCCTCTAAAAGCAACTCCAACCACTGAAGGTCTATACTTCGTAATTATGAAACTTGTAAACGTAGAAATTCTATGATTCTACACTAACAGAGTGATTATATATAGAATTCCATGGATCCACATCTAAACGAATATCAAGTGTTTCATTCTTTGATTTATCTACATTAAAAATAAACAAAAGAATAAATTAATTAGAACTTTTTTAAACCAATAAGATTTTATTATAAAAAAAACTCAAGTTATCTACATAAATAATATCTATAAAAAGGAGAAATGTGCTTTTTTAAACCAATAAGATTAGGCACAACACTACTACACTTCATGTAATCATCAAATAAGTTCTTTAATGTTTCTTCAACAAAAATAATGTGCTTTGTTGCATTTTCCATATTATACAATTTCTTATATGCAAACTCCACAAATTTCAATTTGAAACGAGGATCTAGAACCAATTGCTAAAATAATGTTGTGTTCTTTCCAATATCTGTCAAATTTACTTAATATAGACTTGGCCATCTCCTTTAAAAATTCATCTCTATCTTTCAATGCTTTTCTTAAAGATAATTCAACTTTCCAAACCCCATAAAAATATAAATTTAATGTTGGATATTGGGTTCCTGAGAAAATGTTGGTCATATCATAGAAAACTTTCAAAAACCTAACATTTTTTTCAACCTTCACCCATTCTTCTTCAGTTGGAGCATTAACATAATTGATATCATATGATTTCAAATGAGAAAAAACTTTTTGATAAAATATAGCCCTTTCAAGCATCAAGTACGTAGAGCTCCACCTTGTAGAAACATCCAAAATTAATTTTTTTTTACTCCCATTCATCAATTGATTGGCACATTCAACTACTCTCAATCTACGTGTCTCAGAACTTTTAACAAGCTTTACAATTTCTCGAATTTTAAGCACCACATCATCTATTCCTTTTAAGCCTTCTTGCACTATAAGATTCAAAATATGTGCACAACAACACACATGGAAAAATTTTCCATCTAATAGAAGTGCATTTTTCAAGTTAAGATGCCTTCTATACAAATTAACAAATGTATCACTAGCAGAAACATTGTTTAAAGTAATTGAGAATAACTTGTTTTCAATTTTCCACTCATCCAATACATTCGACACTTTTTTCAAAATTGCAACACCAGTGTAAGGGCGTGGTACATGAAAAAAACATAGAATCTGTTTCTATAGTCTCCACTCACTATCAACAAAATGTACACTGATGCACATATATGATTCCATTGTAATTGAAGTCCACATATCTAATGTAAGACAAATTCTACCAGGAAGTAATTGTAATAAATCTCACAATTTTTTCTTCTCCTTATTGTACATCTTTAATACATCAGCTTTTGTAGTGTTGCATGAAATATGTTTCACTTTTGGATTCAAACCAGAATGTATACACCTATTACTTTCATGCTCTGCAAATGAAAATGTATACACATGTCTAATTATAGCCATTGCCATATGTTCATGTTCTCTATATGCATCTTGATCACATTTACTAACTCGACTCTTAGAAGATTCATCTAAGCCTTCTCCACAAATTTCTATATAATGCAACATATTTGGTGTCCCAACATTCACCTCTGCATTATATGTTTTATCACAATTTTTGCATTTTGCTATTTCAATTCCATTTTTATCGTAGAATAAATCAAAATGTTCCCATACGATTGAAGTTTTTCTTCTTTTATGATTTGAAGTAGACCCTGATGATTTTTCGGCATCATTATAGCTTTCCTTTGACATCAGAGCCAACTGTAACAAAAGAAAATCCCATAATAGGATCAATTGAAACATCCTTAAAGTTTTATTAACCACTATGCAAACAAAGAATCCATTACATCAATTGAAGCATTAAAATTGTAATTTAATTTCTAAAAGTTTCTAATGCAAATTTATAAAATATAAAAGATATGTTGAGACTACAAGGTACAAATTTACTAAAACACCTAAAGAGATCTTTCATAAACTTATCAAGTTATTCCATTGAAAAAAAATGTATAAATGGTATAGAAAAGGGAACATCTAATATGTTAAAAACTTTAATACCTCTTTTTCTTCTAAATTGTATCAAAGTTGTTGATTGATAGTCAAGAGGAAAACTCTAATTTCTCAAGTGGATCAATGGAGAACCAATAGGAAGCTTTAAATCAAAATCTCATTAAGGTGAAATCATTTAAATGGATTTTACCCTCTTCTTTTTCTCTCCATTGTTCTCGTACATTTTCATGTTGGGATCCTGTTGGTTAATCTATTAGTGAGATTCGTTATTGGATCCCCATTAGGAATGCACCTTTGAGCGTGTAAGTACAAAAAGTACAAACTGTTGTCTGAATTCAAAACATGATTTTTACTTACACACTTGAAAGTACATTCTTATTGGGGATCCAACTAATAGGTAATCAGCAGATCCGAGCTTGCGTGTTTTTGCTTATGGATGTGGATGTAATTAGGGTGCCTTCTATGACTTTGTTAGAATCTAATTAATTTACATAGAAATATCTAAGAAATTAAACAATCTTTGGACATAGAAGCCTCGTTAAGAACACTAAAAGTGTACTAATAATCAACAAACAAGGCATGCAAATGAAGAGAAAGACAAGGATTATTTTCTTTACACATGTTAAGTTGTTAACTCTGATTGTATATGATGCAAACAACAATGAACAAGGCCCCCACTTTGTGATGAAAAGTCAACAAATAATGGAGTAGATCTCTAGAAGACAACAGAGAAAGGGACCCCAAGCTTTCTAGCATTAGAAGAGAAGCTTGGAATATGTATTGAAACTTTGGTTACGAACCTACCAAGAGGGCTTCCAAATGAGTGAAGCTTTAATCTCTGGTATACAAGATTATCGAACGATAGAGTTTCCCTTCACAAGCCAATACTAAGAAATAGGATAAGAATGAGCGAGCAGCTCTGTGATGAAATGGGGAAAGCTTCCAATCATTAGGGCATGAGGCATCCTTGTATTTTGTTGTCAATCTAATAGGAACTTGGCTTGTGGGATCAGATGTTTTAAGAGTCAACATTGCACGGACTTTTCTATTGTTAAGACTTCATTCACTTGGACCAAACAGAATGGCAATGTATCACACCAACCATCAAATTGAAAACACATGAAAGGATCAATAATTAAAAATCACATACCAAGTGAAACAAAAGTATATGCCATTCTTAATATTTAAAATTTGGCAATATTTAGGATGCACCATAGCCTAAAAATCACTATGGTCAGATGATCACTAGTTACTAAGATGTAAAAATCTTGTATTTCTGATTGTAATGGGGGCAAGATGCTTACAATAATTAATTCTTTTTAACCCCTCAATTTAAAAGGCTAAAATACCCTGTAAATCCAAGACTTCTAGAATGATAATTAATATTGATATTCATTGTTGTTATGTAACTCATTAAAATTCTAGAAAATCCATTAAATCCAATTGAAGGCCGCAACTAATAAAACCATGAGAAGCCTACAGGCATATAGAAAATTAGATAGTAAACCCAAATAAAATCAAAGATGGGTTGTTATCAAGAAATCACATGATAGCTCTTGTTGAAGATTGGAGGGGAAAATGATGATTTGACAGCTCTCCAATAAATTTTACAAGAACACTGTACTGACAAGAATTTTTGATTATTTTGGTTTTGCTTTCATGACAAGAGAAGGCAATGCAATTCATATCCCATAAATTTACTCAAAACTAATTGTGCTAGAACGTGTTTGATTTTTTAATGGTAACAATGACAAAGTTTTATTACCAGAAAAGATCACAGAAAAAAGAACATGGAGAGGGAGCAACTAGAAAGAAAAAAAAAAAAAAAAACCAAGGCTATACCTCCAACCTAAAAAAACCAAAGGCTATACCTCAATACAACTCTCTAGTAACACTACTCCTAAACAAACAATTGGCTAAACCATTAGCTGATCTCCTAATCCAACAAAATGTGGGTTAGAAAGTGATTGTTTATCAGTAGATCTATTCACAGGCCGGGTTTCGGTCGGGCTTTGCCTCTACATTAACAGAATATGCTTAGGCCCTTGGCTCGGCCATCGGGTTACCTGGTCCATGAACAGGTCTACTTATCATTACTAATAGGTCAAACTGGTCATTGGCAATAACTTCATGATGCATATAATCCCATGCTACACCAAAATCTTTATAGAAACCTTTTCTTGGGAAAAGTATAGAAACCTAATTAACCCACAAAATAGGTCCTCTGGTGATGTATTCTATTACCTCTTCCAATTATGTAGCTCATAACCCTTTAGAAAGAACCAAATCCTAACCAAGCAAACCAAAACTTAAAAAATGGACACAAGGCAAACAAACATAAGTGTATAGTAGGATAAAGTGCTTTTAATTAAAATAATTCCTCCATCAGTTAAAAGATGACTAAACCAACTTCCTATGGAACCTTTCTTCAATGAATCCTAATCGTACTTGTTAATTGTTATTTAAATCTTTCGTTTCTCTGTTCTATTACAACTAGTATTCTAGGAGTCAATGCAAACCAGATTTAACATTTAGTGATGGAAAGACTAGATTTCATGCCTCTATAATTTATAAATTTTCAAATATTTTCAGAAAAGGAACAATGAGATTTTCAGAGATTCAACACTTAAAACACAAATCCTAGACCAATAAGAGTTTTAAACTTACTCCATTTTGGATTAAACCAACAAGATCAGCTTCCAGGAATTGAAATGTCTGATTTAGCTGTTGAATAACCTTGTAAGGGTATTGACCGCTGCTCCTTGTTGGTGTAACACCCTAGAGCAAACTGCTTTATTCTTCCCTCTTCAAGTACCTGTTCAAACCCTAATTTGAACAAAAAAGAAATAACAACTACCCAATCTAGTTGTTCCTTTGGGATGTTGGTAGCCTGGTAGAGAGAGAGAGAAAGAGGGAAAGAAGCAAAGAAAAAAATACAAACAAAGAAACATGTTAATGGTTATCCAGTGGTTAACCATTATCCAACCAGCCCAATCCATCAAAGCCAATTCCTATTGGGTTAACAAACCCGCAACGACCAGGTCCGGGTTGGGCGGGTTCAACCCATTAACAATGGGGTGGGTTGGGCAGGTTCAATGGGTTGGGTCAAAAATTGCCACCCCTTATAACCAACGTGCATTACTGCCTTTCTCTTTTCCCTTATAGACTTCTTGATTTGAGAGATAGAAGGTAGTTATCCCTTACAAGGACTGTAAAACTCTTCTTTTATAGGGAATTTGGAAAACAAACACAAGCACCAAATGGGGCCATAGGGCTCAAGCTATTTTAGGATTTCAAAAAATAAAGCATTTATAAGTGATATTTAAATTTATAATTTTAGATTACCAACATGCTAAAAGAAACTAATTAGATGATTTAATTTCACATGACTTCCGAATGCCTACTCAGTATTTTGGCATTCCACCATTATTACAATCTTAATTTAAAAGCCTAGACACGAGGAAGACAAGCTTTGATCAATTAGAAAACTCCACACACAACCACAATAATCCATCCCAGATGCTATATACAAATATTGAATCTCATGCCACTCGTCCCACATTTTAAGCAGGGATTCCTTGTGCTCATCATCATCATCTAAGCCTTGTCCCAACTATATGGGTTTCGCTGCAGTGGGGAAAAAAAAAAAAAACTATATGGGGTTGGCTACATGAATCATGTTTCGCCATTCCATTCTGTTTAGTGCCATATCCATTGTGCTTGAGAAGTCAAAGTGGACGATTATCTTGTTGAAACAGTTTTGTTGCTAATACTGAAATCAATGAGATGAGAACTGCAATTAAAACATACTTAAAATTGAATTCTCCTGTCCCCATTGTTCTCACTGTCTCAAGCTTGGATAACTCACTGGTGGCATCATTTGAGGGAAAGGCAGGTTCCGCTTCAGTCTCACAAACAGCTGTTGCTTTTGATGATTTGTCCACCTGATACAGCACAAAGTTCAAGAAGATTTTTGAATGTTAACATCCTTAGAGCAAACATGATCTTTTTTTTTAGGAAAAGACAACAAACCCATAGGCCCAACCCACCCACTGACTCTACACCTTCTGGATTTGGTAGTCACACTTCATCAAGTTTCCTAATTATCACTGCAACTCACAAACATGTTGGGAAATTTGATCTAATAAGAAGTAATGTCATGATTCGACTGAGCTTCCTACTGAACTTTTTGATGATCTTACCCAGAATTATATCAAAATCTTGAAGAACCAAAATCAAGATTGTAACCAAGTGACCAGAGCATGAAGCAAGATTGAAAGTGTGAGCATTAAAACTAAAACTAGTTAAGATTTGAGATCACCTCCAGAGTGCATTTACATGCACATTCATATATATGTACATGTCTGTGTATGACATATATAAGTAATTTTAACACCTATGCAAAGTGGTTTATAAAAAAATAATGATTTTAAAATGAATAGTTTAGTAGCACAAAATATGATTGAGCAGATTATCAATAATCCATTCAGAAGAATACAAGGGTATAATTAAGCATTTGGCAGTTGAGAGTGGGAGAATATTTAGGAAGGAAATATTAAGACTTAGAGATATTTAAGGGTAGAGAGGGAGAGAGAGCGAGAGAAAGAGAGATTAGTGGAGAAATTAACATCAGTTTCAAAGAAAAACAGGGAGTTTGGTCCATTTCCTTCATACTTGAAGTCATATCTCACTCCTATATTCAGGGAACACAGATTTGGTGAATCCAAAACATGGATTGGTAGCAATGTGCTCTTCAATTCATATATCTACCTATCCATATTTTCCCAAATATTATGGTATAACTTGATTGATCTTAGCTGCTTGACCCTGTTCACCTCAACAGAAAGCAAGGGGATTTATAACCTTTTTTCCCCTTGGTGCAAGGGCTTATGACCCTGTTCACCTCAATAAGTTGGATAGTTTATGACCACTGACTAAGGTGCCTTTATCACCTCATGACGCAAGACATTTGACACTCTCATAGACCTGCCTCAATCCATTTACCATCTGAAAGATTGAAACCAACTCTAAGAACAAAGAGGAAGGGATGAAACACCAATGAACAGGAATTGCATGTTCAAGGCAAGGATAACATGCAATTGAGTCTAGTATGTTATAACATTTACAAGATTATGTTTTATCTTGGCCACAAGATTATGCTGTAACATTTACATGTTATTTTCTTTGTTTTGCAAGACAGGATATTTCTTAGCCAACCCGGATAAATGAATTAAGGCTTACCTCAGTTTATAGATACATACATATGCATATACAAATATTGAAATTATTAAAGATATATAAATATAACATACCAGACCTGTATTACAAAAGATATGTAGCTACAAAAAACAAGTGAAACTAGCATTGTGCTTCTTTTGGGATTGCACCAAAGGATTCTTAAGTGATATGACTCTAAAAGGTCTGGTTATGTACAACCTGATGGTTGCTGAAGCAGGACAGTGGATGTTCTAGAAATGAGATATTTGGGCAAGGGCCAATCCAATCTAAGCATGGATGGCTCATAGAACATTATATTGTGTTTAAATTTCTACTTGCACCATATTTATCTTTGTAGGAAGACAATAGTTATTTGTTCGTCATTTGTGGTGTCATGATGATCATATAGCAGCAATATAGGCAAGGGTGACATTCATGGTGCAAAAAGATGGTGACAATAGCAATAGCAGGGAGGAAAACATATCAATAATACTGAAAATGATGTAATGGTGTTAATGACTGCAAGAGACTAGATCAAACTGGTAAATGTCAGTTCAAGCCCAGCCCAGTCTAATTAATCCAGGCCTAAATACTACCCTAAGCCCATCCAACCAAAGTTCTAGTATAGGTTAATAGACTCAAACTGGCTCAAGCTTGCAAGCCCAAGATCAGTTCAAAAACCAACCTGAGCTCCCGAACTACTTAAGAGTAAACCATAAAATTGATATCTATTTTAGAGTATTACACTAAAATCCATCTTACACAGTTCTCAATTTATCCTAAGATAGTAACATTCATCTAACTATTTTAGTCTCTGGATTTACAATTCAACTACAAGGTTATAAGTGATTGAAAAAATACTAACCTGCAAACTTGTAGCTGAAGATTCTGTATCTTCCTCATGGGGTGCATTTGTAGAAGTAGTGCATTTGTTCCCATTGTGGGTCATCACTGCAGGCATATCCTTGTCTCCATTTTGTAGCTTTTCTGCCAAAGTTCTGTTTTCCTTCATCAATGAAGTTACCTGCAAATAATAGACACTCTACATAATAGTTACAAGAAGTTGACCACACATTAACATGGAAATTCAGAAAAACCCCAACACAATGTAAATTAAGTTTAAATTATTGACGAAGACCCTAATGACATTTATGTATTTGTATGTGATACATGACCATGGGTAGTTTGGTCTTTTTCTTTGTATAACTAAGTTAATATAATAAAAGGGAGAGGCTGCATATCTTGTACTTCTGATTCTCCCTTAGATCGTTCTCTCTTTATTCTCTTATCGTCTTTCTTCACTATCTATTACACCTATTCACTTAAATTTGTTGAATTGACTAAAACTACTTTGTATCAGAGCAAAGTTTTCTCATGGTCAATGCCCATATAGATCTAAGATCAGAATATTTTTTTTTTAATTTCTTTTGAAGAGCTACAGAACGGGGGGTATCCCATCCTCCAACCCAGGTGCGGGCAGGATTCAACCCCAAGTCTCCGCTACAACCAGCAGGAGACCTTACTAACCAGTTGTTTGGCACTTTGCAAGATTAGAAGATTGATGGAGAACTGAGAAGGCTTATCATTAGATTCTAAATTACTGTGAGGCATGCTTTCAACAAATTTCAAATTATTCACACTCTATTATGTTTTAGCATAAATGTATTTTAATGTTGGTTAAGTATGCAGCTCTATAAAGCACATCCCATGTACACCAGAAAGCCAACAGACTAGTATCAGTGACTGAGCATACAACATTGTGATAACAGACTGAAGACTCCTCTAATCAACACAATTATGCCATGCATCAATTCCAAATTTTATGCTTACAATGCTGCTTAATAGAAAATACATGTGGATGTAAATATGCAGGTAGGCCAGTCATAAGCTGCTTCTAGCCACACAGCAATAGAGGGATTGGAAGGTGCCAAAATAGGTCAGATCCTCAAAACCCAAGATCCTAATACTTGAAAACCCTAGCTGGGGCTGAGCTACAACTCAAACGAGGGAAAGAACCAAAAAGACCCCTACAAAAACAACCCCCTTCTCTTTTATAAGACTCAATGTCTTGTTGGAGAAGCCAACAACTTCAAACAAACCCCCAGAAGATAACTTTTGTTACAAAAACACCCAAGAGCCCAAAACCCAACAGATGTACACCTAACTGCCCCTGAACAGATCTGAATTATAAAATTGATGAAAATACCCCTGGACCCGGACTGTCAACAAAGCTACCCAAAAACATCAATTTGGGATCCTACTACGAAAAACATACAACTCAGAAAGTCAGAATATATTCACATTTATCTCTTTTTTTCTTCTTTTTTTTCCTTTTTTTGTTCTTCTTCCCTCTTTTTTTTTTGGGCTCATCAAAGACAAACTCTATTATCCCCTAAGGTTTAGGAGTTCTCAATGTGCCTTGCCAAGCCATGAGCTTAAAGGTTTTAGTCCACTAAAGCTGTTTAAAAATAGTAATGCATGCAATTTTCTCATTTTGCCCACTTTTCTCTAATCTGTCTAATTCTTCTCTTAAGGGTGGCTTTACTAAATTCTTACTTGATTATTACTCTATTATTGTACTAAGCCTGTTGTAACTGGCTCTCTAATTTGTATTCATTTGGAGACATTATTTTTTATGAAATATTTAAGTGTAAAAAGGTGAAGTTCCTTATATGAGGAGAAATAAAGATTGTAAGGCAAGATGAAATTAATTGTCTTTCAAAAAGTGAAAGAAAAGTGAAACATAATACCTGATTCTGAAGGCGCTCTCTTTCTACAGCTAGTTGCATGACCAGATCTGTTATTACTTTCGTCCTAATGCTAATGTCCTTTGCTGTTTCTATTTTTGTATTATCAGCTTGATGCAAAGATGACTCCAAACACTCCAGTCTACTTCTCAGAAAACTCAGTTCTTCATTAAGTACAAAGTTAGTTTCAGATAATACAATGCAATTATCTTCTACGGTCTCAGCCCGACTTTCAGCTTTTGACACCTTTAACTTTAGATCATTGATTAAATTTTCCATATCCCCAATTGCAGTATACAACATGTTCAGTTGCTCTTGAGTAGCTTCAGCAGACACTTTTGCATTTTGCAATTGAACATCAGATTCCCTCAGCTGCTTCTCAAGCAAGTTTATCTTCTCAATGTTGTTACTATCATTCTTAAGAAAACCAAGTTCTTCATTAAGTTCCAGGTTAGTCTCTGTTAACAGCTTACACTTGGTTTCAGCACTTTCAGCCTTGTTTTCTGCCCTAGAAAGGTTTTCTTTCAGATCTTCAATTGCATTTTCCATGTCATTGAGTTCAGAATATAAAGCATCATGTTGCACCTTGTTTGCTTCCACGGTGGCCTTTGCATTTTGTAGTTGAGTCTCAGATTCTTTCAACTGCTCCTCAAGCAAACTCACTTTTTCCCTCAAAGTAAAGGCCTCAGAATTAGCAACAATATATCTATCTTCAGCTTCCTTCAGATGATCTTTTAAGCGGTTTGTCTCTGTCAGTAGGAAATTGTCAAGTTCTACATTGCTGGTCTCAAGCTTCCTTAAAGCATTTTCTTTGGTGTTCAGCTGTTCTGTGCAATCCTGAAGCTTAGATCTGGCTTCACTTTCTCGTTGAATTAAGCTATTCAAATTGAATTGAGAAACCTGTAGTTGACCCATAAGTTCTTTAGAAATTCCCCTTAACACCTCAGCAGCATTTTCAACCTCAAAGATCCTCCAAAAAAGAATTTCTTCTGCTTCTTCCATGCAGAGTAATTCTTGTTCTGTAGAATGCAACTTAATTCTGATCTCTTCTTCATTTTGTCTTGAGTCAGTTAGTTTCTTTTCAAGGTCTAGCTCTCTAGCTAAAGAATTCTCCAGCATCCTTAGAATATGTCTTTGCTGTTCAGCAGTCTGCATTTTTAACTTTGCATTCATGTTTGAAACTTGACCACCTTCAGAAAAATCTGCACCCTTGCCATTATTCACTATCAACAATAATGAATAGAAATCAGAGATTGAAGTTTACTTTTCTATCACATATCTTCATTTTATGTTAAAATCTCACTAAGCTGCTCAAAAGTTAAATCTAAAATACTTACAATTTTCTTGTCCACCAAAAGCTAATAATGTTCTGTGGAACATAGCTGCTTGTGCTCTCATTTCAGCAACCTGATCTTTTGACTGCTTCAGAGATTCTTCAGCATCATGCAACTTTGCCTCCATTTCAACAAAAGATTCTCCCGAGGGTTCATATGAGATTATTCTCTGACAAGCATCCCTGATTTCCATTTGAAGAGAATCCATGAAGCTATCCAGGTCTCTCACCTCTGAATCTAAAATTCCAGATAAGAAATCAAATTCCAAGGCTTTCTCAAGAGGAAAAGCTAAGATTTCATCACTCTCTAAGGAAAAAGCTTCTAAGTCACTTTCCATGGTAGCAACATGCATCAAAAGTATGTCCAAGTTTACCAACTTCTCAGATGAATATGCCAAATAAAGCTCTACTCTTGTTAGAATTTCTCTGACTATTCCTGCTTCACGGATCCCCTCTCCATTAGGCATAACTGCTTCATATGAGTAAATATTATCTGACTCCACCTCTGGATCCCCAGAATCAACAACCTCAAGGGCAATAGTGGTATCCCCAATAGCATCATCAGCCATTCTTACGACCCTAGTGATTCTTTTGCTTGAATCCTGAATGAACAAGTGAACAAGTTAAGGAATCTTTATATCTTTCATAGATGGGGTTGGATAACTATGACTAGCCCAAGAATCTGTGGATACAATACACTTTTATGCAAAGTGTTGGCAGTCAAGAAGTAACATGTCCAAAAAATGAGTGGCAGAAATGCATATAGTGAGATTGATGAATGGAATAACTAGAAAGGATAGGACCAAAACTGAAGTCATTCAAAGGAACCTAGAAGTAGCTCCAATAGGTGATAAAATGAGAGAAAGTAGACTAAGATGGTTTGGTCATGTGCATAGAAGACCATCAACAGCACCTGTAAAAAGAAGTGATCTATTGCAAGTTGAGGAGACTAGAAGGGCTCGGAGTAGATCAAAAAGGACAAGGGTAGAACAGTATGAATAGGGCTATAAACATGTTGGCTCTGGTTTGGGACAGGGTGTACCAGTCCTGAACTGATTATTAATTGGGATAATCGGTCTGACCTGATTACACCTGAATATACTGGCATCTATAATTATCTATGTTAATAACAACTTAAAACTTCATTTTTGATAACATAACCTTAAGAAAAATGACAGTAAAATAGTAAATTGTTTATACATCAATAAATATTGTGTTTTTAACCATAATTATCTTATATATTATCTATCAAATTTACCCTTTTAGACATAAGACATAATAAAAATTACAAGAAAACTAGGAAACATTTATATATTAACTCATAATCAGTTTGGATCTTAAATCTTAATTGGTTTGTTAGAACAAGCAAGAACCAGAACAAAACCAATGGTTAATTGGGACAAAATCATGGAACTAGGACCGACATAATCGGTTCAGTCGGTTTGGTTTGGTTGGGTAGAACCAACCCATTGACAGCCCTAAGAAATGATTTGAGTGCCCATAATTTAACAATGGATATGGCATTAAACAGAACAGAGTGATGAAACAGGATTCATGTAGCCAACCTCATATAGTTGGGATAAGGCTTGGATGATCATGATGAATAATCAACTAAGATCCCCCCCCCCATAAAAAAAAAAAAGATTTCATTTAGAGTTGATTTTGCTCAAGTGAAGTGCTTTAATCAAATACCAAAACAGAAATAATACAAAATGACAGGCATCCCAAAACAGAGACACGGGGTGCAGCCTCCCACACAAATAGAAAATCATAATTGAACCCAAAACAAGTGATCCCTATACACCCCTTTCTTAGAGAGGAAGTCTGCCATTCCATTTGTCAATCTTCTTTCTCATAGGACCCTCACAACCATATTACTAGAGAGCCATTTGAATCTCTTAATTTCCTCCCTATAAATCCAAATTACTGAGTTATAGGGAAAACAATCATACCAACATGAGTTTGATAAACCATGTGATAGTTTTAGAGCAGAAAAGCAAAATAGTTAGTATGGTAACACTTATTCAATAAGTACGTTTTTAGATGTATGAGACCTATTTAAGATTCAAGTTTAATATATATATATATATATATATATATATATATATATCATGTGTGCATTCATCACCTGGCACCCAATCAATTTGCTATTTACTATGTTTTCAGTTGAAGATACCTTCATGTTTTGTGTCAAACTTCTTTAGACTTCAACTGAAAACAAGAAAACCGGATGATGTTCTCAATAAAGTTTCTTTCAGAAAATGTAATTACGAAATGATCTATGCATTTCTTTCCCTTTCAGAAATAAAAGACCAATATTTCAAAAGACCAACCCAAATGCCAGAAAGGAGGCTGTCCAAGTCACAGGCTAAAGCAGTTCACCAGGGTGATTCACCTAGTGTAATGATAAAAACCATAAAAAATGGCCAAGTCAGCTGTCCAGGTTGACCATATGAGTAATGACAGTTTGAAGACACTGTAAGAAACAGATCATCAAGTCAAATTAAACTCGACACCCAGCTCTCCGTACTTCTCCAAGCTCAACCTTGGTAGACATCTCAAGAGGAGGGAGATGGAGATGAATTGGTAGAAGGAAATGAAGCAGAAGTATATTTAATTCTGAGGTGGACAGTGTAAGGGATCTTGAAAGAATGGAGATTCTGAAAGAAAGGAAACAGATTTGAATCACATTGAATAAGGACTAATTTGGGGGTTGGAGCAAATAAGAAAGTGAAGAAAATTAGGAAAGGTAATAAGAAAGGTTAGAGGTTCTATTTTCGGGAGTTGGAGGTGCAGGTTCATTTTTGTAGATGTGGGTGCTTCTTAATTTGAGAAGAAGGTGTTGAAGTTTTTGAAGAGGGGATTGAATCAGTTTTGAAGCAAGACGATGGTTTTGATCTGAGTGGAGGGTGGGGGGAAGGTGGTGGTTGAAATCTTTTTGTAATTTGCATCTGTTTGTTTCTCTTTTATATGAGCTTCTTATTTGGGGTGGTTAGATGGAGAGTGAGTCTGTATAGTATATTTTGAGTTTTTTTTTTTTTTCTGTTTTCAGGTGATTTATCATCACCTCTCTTGTATTTCTCTTTTTTATATTAATAAATCTTTTTTACCTTAAAAAAAAATCTTAAGATCTAAGAATAAGTGATACTTTCAGAAGAAATAAGGAATCCCTTATTTCCTGTTTCTCTGTCTCCAATAAAAGAGGTTCCCTCCACTAGAGGAATTATATTCAAGCCTTATGGAGGGTAGTGGTAGACAAATATGGGGAGTGCAACTTGGCTTTTGGAAGGGGATTACAAAAGACACTTATGATTTTTTATCAAGCTTATAAATCAAAGTGCGGGAGCAAATTTGGGGAGGGAAACTGGTTCTCTGTTGGAAAGTTTTTCTTAGTGTCCAGTGTTTTAAAAGGGCATGACACAAAAAAAAAAAAACGCAATGGGCATTTTGTGCCTGAGGTGCAAGGCGAGGCGCGTGCCTTTTTGAAGCAAGGTGCAAAATTTAAAACAAAATAACAAAAAATATTAAAAAGTATGTAAAAAAATGTAAAAAATTCAAAATAACATAATAAAACATTAAAATAATATTAATTAGAATACAAACATTTATTGTAAACAAAATATTTTAAAAAGCTTATTATCTCAAATTAAAATACATAACCATGACATATAAAACATATTAAAAGTGAAAATGCAAACAATAAAATCAAATATAGCATATAAAACATATTCAAGTATGTCAAACTTTCAATTTCTTTATTTCTTTCCTAATTGACTATTTCAAATAGATAATATGATGTTAAACATATTTCATTCCTAATTCTACGAGCCACCTTTGTACCAAGCCCCTTGAGGCAAGCCCAAACAAATCCATGTTAGGGTATTAAGTTCTTAATCCCTATGAAAAATGGTTTTATAATTAATTATCTTTTAGAAAATATCCTTCATTAGGATGAATGAAAGAATAACATTAGCAAATAGGGGATTCTCAGAGCTCCTAAAATCTCAAGATCTACACAACCACAGATCATTCAAGAGCTGCACAGTAAAGTGACGTTATGAAATTAAACAGGGCCAAGAGGTTCTGACTATCATTTAGGAGGTTATTGTTCAGTTGAGAGCTTGAAGAAAATGCCAGGCTGCTACAAATATCTGAAGAATTTTTTCAGCCAGATTATGAAGATCAAAGAATACGGTTGAGTGACCAAAAGGTGAATTTCTAGTTAAATATTTCTATAATGATCACGTGGGGTGTAGTGGAGACTTCAGGGCCCAATTCCCCTTGTGTGGTTGGTGGCAATGAGGAAGATCATAACTCAATATCAGTTGAAGTCAAAATAAATCAACTTAGCTAGCAAGTATGTACCATGTGATTCTATGGAAGAGGATGCCAATTATCTTATAGTGCAATGCAAAGTATCAAAGGAGACATTGGGCTTTTTTCTTTTCAAACTATTCATCCTTCAAGTGAATTAGGGGATTCCAACATCAATTCAGCTACTCTTGCAATCAAGGTTTAAAACGTCATTGTCAATTGAAATGTCAGTCATCCAAATACTGGAAACATGTCAGGAACGTCATATGGAAATATTGTACAAATTATAGACATAGTGTAAACATTGTAAAATGTGCAAAAAAAAAAAATAGGGCCATTACCCAATGTTGGTCCCACTTATCTGGGGTCTTCAGAGGGGTACAATATGCAAAATATACAATGATATTTTATGAAATGATAGAGGAAGCACATACATCCTTTAAGATTATTATCTTGATAAGCACATAAGCTAAAGCTAATAGACAAAATAATACGCTGTGATGTTGTGCTGTGATCTTTAAGAGTAAAAACTATGCAATAGAGTAAGTTCAAGCAAAATATAAACACACAGAATGTGCAAATAATTCTAATAATTTAACCAAATAATATATTACACAAACAAAAGATAAGATTTAACATCACATTCAAAAAGAATTTTGAGTTGGCTCAAAATGGTCATTTTCTTTAGGGAGGTGATTATACTCCTAGAGTGCTACTCCACATATCTAAAATACTGTTATTAACTCATCATGTATATATCACATTGTGTACTCCACATAGTGCCTATGGTTTTCACTAGGGAATATATTGATTCTATTAATATTTTGTGATAGTAACCATGGAAATGGAAATATTAAGAAATGTGTTGACATTTTAAACCATACTTTCAATCATGAGTCTCGGTCAACTATGCATTCAAAAACAAAGGAACCATATTATGGATGATTACCCCTCCATGATGATCTAGAAACATTTTTGTGCTTCTTAGGGGTGAGATGGAGACTTCCAAAGTAGATTCCAATAGTTTTTTGAGACATCTTGAGAACAAGTAGGATCATGTGGAGATGCTTGACAGTGGCAGTTTTATCATTGATATGGTAGGGAAAAAATTCTAGAGTCTTCATAGACAACAAGGAGCGGAAGATGTTGACAAAATTCATCACTATTGAAGTGGTCCATTGAGAATACTGCAGGGCTGTGTAGCCTGTTTTTAGTGACTTCAATACTGATGACATTGTGTGGGATGGACACATATTGGTTCCTTTGATGCCTCTAAGACATCTCACCAGATTCAGGTTCTCCCTTCTCAAGGCTCCATAAAACTGAATTTTGATGGATTCTCTCTGGGAAAAACATAATTGGCAGGTATTATAGGTAGAGGGATCCTTTAAGTTTCTTCGAGACTGATAGGGTGGGCTGACTGAATTTGAGCTGTTCTAATGCCCCTTTTGAGGAGGTTCATCTGTTGCATGCTTTTATCTGCACCAAAGTGGATGTTGAGGAGGATTTTGAGGTTGTTGTGGGGTGGTTGAGTGATGGAAGAGGGAGTCCATGAGCATATAGACATTTCTTACAAGAGGTTAGAGCTTTGTCATCCAGGTGGAATATCTCATTCCACACGGTCAGAAGATTTTTCAATAATCTAGGCAATTCCTTAGCTAGAATTGGGGTTAGAAGAAATGAATTGTATTGTGGCCCCATCCTTCCAGACTACATAGCTTTCCTGGATGGGTGTATGGGAGGCTGCTGGAAGCATCAGGGATTCAGGGTTCTTTTGCTTTCTTTCTTTGAACTCTTAATTGTACTTTTTTACTGATCTTTAATAAAACCTCTTTGATATAATTACTGATTAAAAAAGACTTCAATCACCTCCTTGCTCAACCAGCCCCACTAAAAAGGAAAATATAAAAGCATCACATTAACTGCCCTACTGCACCTTCCCCTCCCACAAACTCTACAGCTTCAAATCAACACTTTTCAACCTCTCAGAGTGGATCCCATCCAACATCTGTTCAATGCTCATTGTTACACCATTTGATTCAATACTACTAACTCCATAAGTTCATCCCATATCCTGGTACTAGCACCCTCATCATATAAGTTTGAGTCCACCAAAACAATGGAAGTTCTTTCAGAGAAAGAATACTTCTAAAAGAAATGCATTCTTCTAATTTAAATGTTCAGTAAAGTAACACTTAAAACTGATGTAAATAGGATTCAAGGTTTGGTTTCAGTCTAATTATACAAAAGAAATGTAAATACAGGAAAGGACCAACTAATACAGCAAGAACCAAGGTCTTAAAGGTTTGTACATATGTCCAAAACAAACACATGCTATAATAGATTCATAAGTAAACTTACACCCACAGAACCAATTCTTGAAGAGAGATCAGTTGTTGGAAGCTATCATGAGTCCCATTAGGATTCTTTTCTAAAGGAGTTTCTTATTTTTTTTTTCAGTTGTACTTTCTTTTTGTCTTTTCAGTTTGCTAGTTATGATTTCCTTCCTCACAAAAATACCCCATATGCCTACATAAATGGTGATATAGTAAATCTTTGACAAACTAATGAATGAAAGGTTGAAACCTTTCCCGTAAAATGGGTAAAAAAAACAGCAAACGGGCTGGAAGATGTTCTCGCAAAACAAGGAGTGGACAGATCCACTCTATTTTGGGCAATGTTGTAATCTGTAATAGTAAAAGGGGGCATGGTAATTAGGGTGGCCAATCTAGTTTCTGCTGTATATGGGCTACTATGTAGCAAAGATATGTTAATTTTTTTCAATTATTAATAAATAACTCATTTAGCTGATCAAAAAAAGGAAAGAAAAAAGAAAGACTTCTCATGCAAGTGGTGAGACTCTAAATTCACCCTTTATTGGGTAGGTGAGATTTCAACGCAATGGTCAATTGGCTAGTAAACAGTACCTTTCTTTTTCCTATCCCTCACATTGATGGTCAGAAAATAATATTGAGGAAATATGAAGAAAACAATGGAGGAAATTTTTGTACAAGATTTGGACAGGCAAGCAATAGGAATATTACAAATTAAGTCCAAGGAAATCCTAACATCCTTGATAATAAAGTTTTGTCATCTGATGCAAATCTGAATTGAATTGAAAAACTCTTTCCACTCCAATTGATCTGAAATCAAGTTCATCCCATGGGTGGTAGCATTTCCAACATTTGTATTGGATTTTGGACAAGTGTTAAATTTCCAAAATGAACACAATAGATCAAGTAAAAACAAATACCAAAATCCAATAGAGCATCTGTACTGACCCAATAGATGATAAAATGAGGGCAAGTAGACTAAGATGATTTGCTAATGTGCAGAGAAGACCATATATAGCATCTGTAAGAAGTGATCTATTCAAGTTGAAGGGAGTAGAAGAGCTAGGAACAGATCAAAAAGGATTTTTTCCTTTTTTTTTTTGAGAAAAAGTAGTAAGAGATGATTCAAGGGATAATAATTTAACAATGAATATGGCACTACTACCCTTTCTTTTTTTTTTTTTTTTAGTATACAAAAATTTAGAATTCAAAAAGGCCTAGGCTCTGCAATCACATGATCAAAAAGCCATTTGTAACCCACCTGCAAACATTAATAAAATAGCACTTAATTTCCAAATAAAAATTTCCCCACTTCTCCGTCTACATTGCATCCAAAATGAAGACAATAAGGTCTCCTTCCCAGATCAAATTTGTTTCCTCTTCTATGTTTCTCCACACACAACCTCTGCATCGAATTATGTCATAATTCCTCACGACGTGCATTAAGGATTAGACTGAAACCACCAAAAGAACCCGATCGATTAAAAAACAGCCGCTGGTGTCAGAAATTCATCTGAGCCGATTCAAATTTACTAGAATTTCCATAGAAATTTCATATTCTTACTCAAATTTTTCTACCAAGGCAACTGAATGAAGAAATCTAACATTGAAACGTTTTCATGAAAATACAAATAAATTGCAAGATAATTAGAGATCTGGTACCTTTTAGAAAATTTCGCGGTTTTTTTTTTATAAAAGCAGAAATAATTCGTGTGAGAGGAAGAATCGCTCGAACACAACAGCCTCAGCCTTCTTAATTCTTCTTTCCGTTGACTGGTTGCATCACAATCTTATGACCTGGAAATCTTTAAAAGCGGAAAAACTTTTGGCTTTTGGCAGAATCCTTTGTCCTAAAACCAAACCAGGTTTCTCGGATCACAGTCACTCCTTAATAAGCACAGTATCAATTTTTGAAAGGGATAAATACTTAAACTACCCTGAGTTTTCTGACAAATTCTTAAAGGCCCCTCTAATTTAATAACTGGCTTAAACACCTTTGGTTCAGCGCAATTAGCGATATTCGGAAGTTGGAACCAACGCCATATTCTGGGGAGTCCGGATTTCCTACCCACGACATATCACAATCGTATATGGGGAATATCTCATCCTCTTATATCGTGGAGGTAGTATTTTGTGGACAGGTATGGGTAGCATCTTTTGAAACTAAAACTGTTTTCTGAAATGCGCTTTTCAAGAAAACAGTGTTGTATTGGCAAGCCATTTTTTTCAAAAAACATCTTTCTTTTTTTTCTATTTCATACCATTGCTGTTGTTGCCACACAAGTGTTTTTCAATACCATATCAGCAGAGATGAGATCTTCTGCCAATAAACAGGTTCCAACACTCTACCAATTTAATCTAACACCGCACATCTCACCATGAGACTAGGTCTCACCATAAAAGTGGGACCCACCATGTATGAGATGTGCAGTGTAAGATTATATTGGTAGAGGGTTGGAACGTATTTTGTTGACACGTGAACTAGATCCATATCAGCATATTGTTGCTAATAATAGTAAAAAGACCAGAAAACACCAAAAAGAGTGTTTTCTCGTACCACACCCTTCCCAATGATTTCACAACTTCACATCTGCGCCCACAAGGAGGCGCCCCACAATGCCCCATAATACATCCCAACCTTATATTGAGAACATCTCCCAATAACAAGTACAGGAGATGATGAGACATTATTAGATGTTCCCAATACAAGGTGGGGATGTGTTGTAGGGCATTGTGGGGCGCCCCCCTTGTGAGGTGCAGATGTGAACTTCTTCCCAATATCCAAGATGTGGTCTCAAAAAATATTTTTCTAAAAAACACAACTAAATATCAAGAGTTGTCTAAAAAACGGATTTCAGACATGGATGGCATTTATGTGGCGACATTTTTTTTTTGAAAAAACAGCATCGATCCTAAACACCAGTATGATGTGCCATTTTCTAATGCATGGTTTGTTTGGTTTCATTGCCATTTTCTAAGAAAACGGCATCACATTGGAGCCATGTCAGCCATCATATCTGAAAACGTTTTGAAAAAGAAAAAACAACATCAAAAATTGAGGTTTTGAGGGATGGACATATTTAAAAAAAAAAAAACATCAAAATGTTTTTACCATTTTCTGAAAAAAAAACAGCTAACCAAACAACGTATAACAATTCATTTCTTGCCTATTTTTTTCAAAAATCTGATATGACTAACATGGCACGGCTTTATCAGAAAATGGCAATGGAAAACACCACCTGAAAAGACCATTTTAGTATTTTACTCTTTCTGTTAGACAGTTTTGTATGCCCTTAGCTTCAATCAGAATGATGTACCTTATGAGTTTATTGTAAATGAATAAAAGTGCATATTTGATTCATGTTTCCTTGGTATGTTTCTGTGTAATACCCTTAAACTGGACACTTAATGAGACTCGTGTTAGTTTAGAATGTTCACAGCCAGTGGATCAGTCTGGGGAGA